ACGTGAATCATTGTATATATATATATATAAGAGACGGGGCCACGGAGCGAAAAATTTGTCGCGATGTCGGTCGCGCATAATCGGGCTGCGGAAAACAATGGTCCTCGCGGGTTCGATTTGCATCAGAACGCGCGGCGAATCCCCGAATTCTCCTCCCCTTCCGGCCGGGGGACACGTTAACGAGCGTGTCGAGGTTTGGAGATCGAGGTGCAGCGAGGAGGTGGAGGATGGAAGCCGGGCCACGAATGTTAATATTCATACGCTTCGCCTCTATACATTCGCTTCCAACGACCTTCCACCGACCGATGTGACTTGTTTTTCTTCGCCGCCACGCAGTGGAATGGTCGCAGAATTCGGAGGATAAGTGGGCTGGAGAATTGTGGATCATTCGCTGTGTGATTGGCATTGAGAATTTGTGTCAAAAGTATCATATCTTACGTATCTATGCTCTCTATGTATTTCCTTTTCCTTTCTTTTAGTTTACGAAGATAATTTTTACGCGCGTACAAAGAACACGGACGGTGAATCGAATTAAATGAACAAACATTCGTGTATATTTATAGAAAAATTTGTTCGCCTCACCACTTTTTTGTATCCAAGCCTTGTTGAAGGATACATGACATGAAGGATGAAGGATGAACTTAAGCATCAAATGCTTCCCTTTGCGTGTTCAAAGAAATTATTGAATCTAATTATTCGGATCTATCGAAGGCTCGAAATATCGTGGCTCGTGTACATATCCGGGGAACGTGATGTCACCGAAAAAATGGAAGAAGTCCAAAGGGGAAAAGGGGGAGAGGCTGATGTAGCGCCAAGAATTCGAGGCAGTCGTTAGTATGCTAATGAGTGTCCATCGTTTCTTCGCTGGGCTCGTAATGCGTGGTTCGGTAAATTATTTCAAATATTTCCCGAATACTGGTCCCCACCTATTCCCCGTATCAACGTCTCTAAGCGTCTCTCCGTGAGAATCGAGCGCGCCTCCACGAGGCTCTCCTCTTATATGTTGAAACGGAATACATGTAAAAAGTTTAGATAGATCGCGCGCGATTTGTCGACGCTCGAGCCGACAATGTCAAAGTTGACCCTCATTTTTTCTCCTTTCACTGGACTATAAATGGAAAAGTAGAATTCTTTGTGAACGCGCGAAGTTGTAACTGCTTGCATGTATGTCCTCTCTTGAAACTTCTTTTTTTTTTCTTTCTTAGATCCCCACTCGACAAACGCTTGGGAATATTACGCACGACTCTCACGTGGAAAGGTTAGGCAGTTACTTTCGTTGCAACTTCGAAAGTTATCGTGAATTATCCTTCTGGGATCCAAGATTTAATTACTGCACGTTATTTTCGACGATCCTTAATTCTCGAACCGAGAGGAACAGCATCATATTCGATACTGTATTCCGAAAAATAATCTCAGTTTCGTGATATCGGAACAACTTGATCTCACCGATTAAATCCTTTGAACGAACGACAGCCCCTGCCGACCATCTTCCCGCCCGGCAGAGAGAGGCGCGCGCGACGCTCTACAACGACGTTTGTGTGTGTGTGTGTGTGTGTGTGTAATGAAAGATCGGTCGCCGTGGCCTTTATTCTTTGCCTTTAATTCTCACCTCTGGACTTTCGTGGCGACTCTCGATATCAGGGCCCCGATGGCGCCGTTATATATCCCCGGCAAGATAAGATCGAAAACGGCGTGAGAGCAACGTTCCAGACTCGTTCTCTCTCGTGCCCCGTGTACACGATGATAATATTAATTCCTCGTGCCGGCGTATCGTCTTTCATGCGATCCCGCGGCGGCGATCCGCGATCATTAATTAAACATTCAATTTGTATGAGAAATTTTCGCGATCGACCCAGCCTCGCTCCGGGGGAACGTTGATCGATGTTGGATCAGGGGCGGGAAAAAGGTCCCGGGAACGCGGCGAGCGGCGATTTGTCCTCCTAACGGGAACCTGAGGCACGAAAAAAATTCGCCCGTGATGATGCTCGCCCGAGAAAGGAGGTCGTAATGTGGTTCGATACATCGATATTGCAAGAGATACTCGATGAGATAAATGTAGATAATCGAGATTATCTTTACTTTAATTCCATTCCTTCGCTTTTCCAGTAAATTCTTAAATTCTTTGCTCGATTATAATTGTGAGATTCGATGTACTTGAACAAATTACTCGAGGATGATTAAGAAAGAATACACACACACACACACAACCATTTATAACGTGTATCTGGACCGAAGGATCATTTGCATGTATTAAAATTTCTGACGAAATTTCCCCCCGAAAAAGGAATCGTTTAAATACTACCTAACCAAAGTTAAGAAGAAGACCAACTATTCACAATTGCTCAACGTCGCCCATAAACCTGTCCCCCCTCCCCAATAAAAAAAAACCACACCCGATAACCTCAAAACTCCATTCTCCACTCATCAACCACTAATAAACACGTAAGCGTCGCCGTTCTTATCTTCAAGGTGTATCCACTATGGAGAACGAGGGCGAGAAAACCGTAAGAGGAAGGAGGGAAGCGTATCACGCAACGGAGAAGGAAAGAGAGAGAGAGAGAGGTCGATCGCGGGCAAAGAGGCTTTCAAAGCCACCGATAGGCATCCACACATAAATCCGTATCACGTGTAGGCCGTATTTTCTTTCGTAGGTACGTTCGATCCTAGGAGAGATCCCACGATTCCACGATGGGACGAGGGAAAGAGAGGGATTCTAATTTACCTAAAACGCGTTATCTGCTCGGTCGGTCTCTCCGGGAAACCTGAACGCACGCGGCGAAGAAAACGGAGACAGCCGTGGCCCCGTGGTTGCCTTAATGAGGTCCAATTACTATCGGATGGGTCACTTAGTATGCGGTACCGATATTCCACGGTGCACCACATTAGTGGGACGAGGGGAAAGGGAGGAGGAGGAAAGGGAGGGAAGAAGAGGCAAGGGTCAACACCCTTGCGAAGGGAACGCGCGGCCTAACGAGAAAGAGAGAAACGCTCGTTCCTGTCGCTCGTTCACGACTCGTACGCGCACGTGCGGCCGCGGAATCCGCCGATTGAATATTATTTGCGGCCCTTATCGATCGCTGCCGCCGCGGGAACGTCGAAGGACATCGCGATGAAAGCGCGGTCCCCGCTTTGCCGTGTTCACCTCTACGTTCTATTGCCATTCTGACGTCCGAACGCGGCTCTCAGGGACTCGTCGAACGAGGGGAGGATCATTTTTAAGATCATTCTGGGAAATAAGAAGGGATTGGGTTTTTGAGCTCTCTCTGTTTTTTTTTTTTTTTCTCTCTAAAAATCGAAGAAAAATAATCTACGGAGATAAGCGGGTAAATTGGTTAGGTGAAACGAGTATAAGGATCTTTAGATTTGTTTGCTTTTTCTTAATTTTGTAACAACTAATAATATATGTACGTTTCATCAGAGATGTAATACGTATTTAATTATAAGATTTAATTAAGCCTTCGTTTACGCGTGTAAATCGATAAGAATTTGTGTTCAAAAATGTGGAAATTATTCATTGAAAATATTACTCTATCACGATATAATTTATCCATTCTTGTTACGAAAATAGTTAATACAGAGGTTATAACAAAGTAAAGGTCTCGTTGCATTACGGCATAAAATGTGTGCTGGAAATATATTGTGAAAGATTAGATAAATAAAATAACAATTTATAATCGGAAGTTCATAATTGTCCAATAAATACGAGAAAAAGTTGTTTTATATTTTGATTAATATTCATCTAATTGTCGCTAAACATTCATTTATTCAACTTTGTTTATTCTATTTTGCAAGATGTTGAGATTAGTTGGTATTTCTTTAATACACATACAGATATTTTCTAATCATTATTGGGACTTTTTTTCAAATTAATTCAAAGTTCATGAATTCTTATTTGAAATCTGTATATAAATGTATAATAAATACGTGAATTTTCCTTGCATTATGATATTCGTGCTTAAGCCTTTTCTTGCTGGAAAATTATTTATTGAAAATGAAACGACCGTTGATCGAACAACTATTTGCATATTGAGCGAAACCTGGCTCGCAATCAATGACGAAATTCGCGGATATTTTTCTCGATCTTTCGAAATCTCTTTCGAATTTGTTTACGCATTTCGAAGAAGATTTTTTTCAAGTTTTCCTTTAAGGAAAGAAATTCGTACATTTGATGTAAAACATCCGTTCTTCGCAAATTGACTATCAATCATTATTATACTACACGTTCACGATTAATTCCGTTATTGAATTAATTGAAGAATCTGATAATTGCTAAAAAAACTGAAAAAAGAGAGTGAAACACTCGACTGACAACCACGTATGGCACGTGTAGAGAAAAAAGTCACGATGGTCTCCGCCATGTGTCACGATTTCTAAGACAATCGCGTTGTGCCCACGAAACCGTCCGAGAAGGGGGACGATCTGAGATAATCGATTAGTCGCGCTCGATTCTCCCGTCCACTTACAAATTCGAGCCGGGCGAATGTTTTTCGCGTCCATTCGAATGGGACTTTCTCACCTTCCACGCCGATAGTCCGACGTGTACGTGACTGTTCTTCCCTCTCGCGATTCGTCATGGCTTATTAAACTTCCCGCCTTTTTAAATCGGAGTGAACGCGATGAGGCGCAACTTCGATCCGATACGAGATACATATATATATACACGTCGCTTCGATCTCTCATTGGTGATTTGAACGAGTGGGTGAAGAGGTCGCGTGACGCGTCAATTCGTAGCGAAATAAATTTCTTCACTTCACGCGATAAGCGAAACAGTAAATTGACGTTTCAACCTTCCTTGAGTTAACTGTGATAACTGATTTCTCCCGTTTCTATTCAATTTTTATAACGAAAGTGAAACGATACAAATAATTAACAAACTCATCAAAGAAAGAAAAGAATAATGAATCGATAAAGAATTTAAAAAAAAAAAGAAAAAGAAAGAAATCAAAAATCTCCAAAGAAATCAATAAGGGTAGTAATACCTACTACTCTAACGCATTCCTTCAAACGTGATAAACCAGCTTACAATACGCGTTCAAACGATGATTAAATACACCCCTTACCTTGCAACCCTCGCACGTGAACGCTCCGAAATGAAAACCGGCCGCCGGCTCGCCGCAAACCTTGCATTGCTGGTTCATCTGCAATTATAGAAATTATATTATTCGAAGGACGTGCGTCATGTCAGTCAGTTTAGTCCCATCCTTGGCGAGATAAAGAGAGAGAGAGAGGAGGAGGAGGAGGAGGAGGAGGAAGAGGAACAGGGAGTATGGAACGGAGAAGGAGGCTCTCAAGGGGGAGAGGAGGAGGGATGACGAACCGGTTCTCCACGTTCGCTTCGATTTTTATTCCTCCCACAATATCTTACGGATGTTCCAATGCTATTTGGATTACCGAGAACAGCCTGAAAAATTATTCTCCCCTCTAGCTGAGCCGAGCTTTCTTTACGACCATTATCGCCCCCCGACACGGTTCAACGTTGCGCTAATGCCTCAGCCATCCTTCACACATAGCGATCGATTTCTTTTTCAACTTCTCATCCTATCCTCTGTCCTTCGCCCATTGTGATCTTTGACTCTTCCTCGTAGTGGTTTAAATAAAAATTTTAACCAAGGGTTTGGGCTGTATTTAAACATTGAAAAAGACAATACGCAAATAAGATATTAAGATAAGATAAGATTTTATATTTATATTTTATGCGCATGTATAATTCTTTAATAATAAGAAAGAAGATCGATCGTACGTTATATTTGTTGCTATAATTTTACATTGGTTTGTGTCAAATGAAAAAAAGGGGAATTAACGAAATTTCATTGTTTGAGAAGGGGAAAAAAATGTATTCTATAATTGTCACACAGTTTTCAAAAGTATTGGTAAAAAAAGATTGCTATACGTAAAATTTCTTTTATGCAATATACACGAGTGACATCTATCTGCAAATATGCAACTCTCTTGTTTCTATAAATACTTCATAGAGGGTGGCACTGATCAATAAGCCATTTCCTCGTATCCATTATGATAGTTGTTACCTTTGCCTTTTAAAAAATAACTCAATTTCCCTACGACGAATTTCCATTGTGCATCTTTTAATCTTCTATCATTAGAAATAACTTTTTCCTCTTTCCTTTCCAATTGTTTCTTCTAATTAGATAATTCATTAGATAATTAGATAATCAATTCCCAACCTTAATCGCCACGATATTGACGGAGAATCATTAAAGAGCTTTTCCTTTGACCAGAATCCAATCGAATCCGTTTTTTCTCGGTGTCAGCGCATCGAGCCAGATCGCAGCAATGGCGTTCATAAATCAGCGCTATCTCGGGTAAAAGGCATCGCCATCTGTCCCGTGTCAGGGCGATGGTCGCGTTTCTCGGGTAAAACCGGAATAAAATTAGACCATCGATGATCCGATAAGGGAAGCTTACCTATCAGGGGCCTCGAACACGCACCTGGCTTCCTCTAATGTCGCAACGCGTTTATCTTGGCCAAAGATGGCCGGTTCAAATCATTCGCGAAGACCTTGCGAAACGCGACACAACCGAACTAACTGTGTTCTCTAATATGCTGGAAAAGGGGACATTTAATTACATAATTGTGCCGGCTTTTTGAAATTCAACCGAGTTGTCCAACTTTTCCAATTCTAGCCTAAAGGATTCAGGCCTTTTCATTCCTCTTGTTGTCGCCACTTAAAAAAATGACCGTACTGGGAGGAATCGTAGGGAGAAACACGATTGCCTCTAAACACGATCGATTCCATCCATCCTTATTCACGCAACCTTTATAAACCGCTGATTGATTCACGATGAATGTTTAAATGACGGGCGTGTATATATATATACGTATACCCGTTCGAGACATTCGAAGACAAGAAATAGACAAGGTATCGCGTATTGTATCGCGATAAACGAGCCCTCGAAGGGTGGTAATCTGGTGGAAAGGGGCGTTTTTGCGACGAGAATTCAAAGTGACCGTAATTAGTGTCCAGCCAAGACACAGCTAAGTCCTCCTCTTTCTAATCGTCTCCTCCTCGACGATTGTTCTTCGAAAGGAAAGGGGGCTGGCGCCCGCGAACGGTAGTCTCCTGTATTAAACCGACCGACACGGAGAAACGGTATGGGGCATCGAAGAGAGGCCCGTGAAAGAGGTATGGAGAAAAAGAGGAGTCGACTCACGGGTTCGTTAAGGTTTCCAAGTTTTTTCCTCGACGCAGTTGTTTGACGCCCGCTCTTTCTTTCATTCCGCTTGCTGATGAGCCGAGACCATCCTCTTTTCCCTTCCCCTCGAAGAAACAGACAGCGCTATAGGTGTCTCTTCTTCTTTTTTATTTCTCTCTCTCTCTCTCTCTCTCTCTCTCTCTCCTTTCCCTTCTTCCATGTTCCCTTTTCACCGCACGACAATGATCTATTCGCCATGTTTCTTTCGAGAGAACCGGAAGTCGTTGCCTTGGAATATAACACTTGGATGGATTTCCTTATGATCGTAAGATTCTTTTTTTTCTTTTTTTCTATGCAATATCAAAATCGATCTTAATATCCTCTTCCCTCGAAGGAAAAAGAATTATCATCTGTTTTATTGCCGCTGCCGGGATGATGCGTCAAGAATAAGAGGCAGAACAGTGGAACGGGATTATGTAAGAGATTATTTATATTATACCCCGATGATATAAAACACGATGCACCTGACGATCACCGCGTTAAAAGCTGCAATATATTATGTCATCTAAAGGTTGCTTGGTTTAACGAGCCTCCTCCACTGAAAAACCATATTACGTAGATTTCATTAAGCCCCGCAAGATCTCTCTTCATCAATCTTCCCTGCATTATATTACACGTAGAAAGGAAGAATCCTCTTGGCAATTCGAATCCTCTCGTCGAAAGAGGGAGGGGAGAACTCGAGTGTCTTCCTTAAATCCGAAAATATACTTCGAACTCTGACATTTGCCTGGAGCAACGAAATACAAGCCTCCATAATTCCGTTTCAAGGCGGGCAGAAACACACATCGAAGGAACGCGTGAGAGCGTGAGCTTTCGAGCGGATATCTCTCTCTCTCTCTCTCTTTATCCGTGTTTCGAGGAAGAGAGACGAGGAAAGGAGGAGGAAAGGTTAAGCGGTGCAAAAAGCGGGGCGCGGAACTAATATCGGGAGACGTGTTGTTTTCCATCGATGCGCAACCGCGTGAGGAATATCGGAGTGCCCGACCGACGTTGATTAACAGTGGTCTCGCGATTAACAGTAAATCACAGAGCGCATCGATTCAGCCTTCTCAGTAACCGTATCCGTGGCCCGTAACCGACCGGTGACTATAACCAGCGAACGGTACCATTTAAGTAGCCGAGCCTATTGATTTTACAAAGGATCTGGACAAGCGTGCACGGCCCGATATCGATTCTATCCCACGAGCTCGCGTGATTCGGGCCAAGGCTGGAGTCCGACCGGATCGGCCCTAAAGTGTCTCGTTAAATTTACCAGATTTATGCATCTCGAAGTTTCTTTTTTCCTTCTCTTAATGAATATCCTTATCCTAAAATATGCGAGGCTTCCTGGATGATCTTCTCTAGGATTGGAACAGGATCGTTCGTTCATAGATATTCCACAAGATATATTTTCGTTAAATTTTGCACGACAGAAAAGAGAAAGTATCGTGAAATCAATCATATATATATATTTATTGGACGAGAGGAATTAACGTTACCAACCAACGTTACTGTTAATTAGATCAATAAGATATATCGTGAAATATTTCTTTTCATGGTTTCCAGGAGCTGCATATCACGACGCTTATCACGAAGCATCGGATAAACGAGCGCATTGATATATGCAAAAGTGCCCGGAGGCGATGGAGAGGAGCAAAAAGGCGGACGAATCCACAATCTGCCCATCGACTTCTCATCGGCGGACGTTGCACAAAGGCTTGTGTTGCACGCGCGCCTCGTACCCCAGTTTCCACGAGGAGAGTCAATATTTGCCCGCCACTCGTCCGTTAATGAAGTCGATCGACCTGCTCCAAATATCGGCTTACGGTCGAAGCCGGCCCGCGTATCCGTGCAAAGAGGAACGATCACGAAAGGGAACGAGGTAGAGAGAGGGGGGGGGGGGGAACAGACCCTTCTTCCACGCGCACGTCCAGGGGCACGTCGAACGTTTACGCGCCATTAAACTCGAGTCCCGTGTGACGTTTATCCCTTTATGAGAGTTTTTCTTTTTTTCCTCTTCCTTTTTTTCCTTCCTAAGAACGATCCCCGCGATGACTTCCTCCTCCTTGCCATTGTGACCCCGACACCCCTTCGTGCAACCCTTTCTCCGATCTTCTCTTTGTTAGGAACGGATATATATAGAAAAGAATGATGAGATGGAAGATACGTGTGGACGTTCGGATTTCTCGTTGATCGTACGTCGAGGATACGATAGTAATTTATAAATTTAAAATCGTGAATTTGTTTGCTCGATGTTAAAAAAAAAAAATTCTAGAGTTATATTCCTAGAGTAGTGTGTATATACAACTTGAATGATTCGAATTCGAATCTTTTACTTGTTTTCGAAATTCATACGCTATATTCCGAATCTTGTGCCTCGGTGTCGTTCAGAATTTCGACCATCTAAAAATTCTACAGCTCCTAATAAACATCGTTAAATCGGATTCACGATGCCTGAAGAAAAAAGTTTCCGAGAAACGGAAGGAGGAAAAGCGAAGAAGACACCTTCATCAAGATCCAAGTTCCGAGAAGCAAGCCGTCCATAAACCGTGAGACGCGTGTCGCTCGCTTCGACGACCGTTCCATTTCCTCGAAATTAATTTCCCCTCCCCCCTAACAGGAGGCGGCAAAGGGACACGGCAAAAACTCGAAAAGCGTGCGCGCGAGATAATCGTCCAATTAAACTCGAGAGCTGGAATAATCTTTCGTCGATTGCGAGTTCCCCACGGCGATGGCAGCGCCCCGCCTCATCAAACGAGTTTCCCCGGCTCGCGTGATGCGCAATTAACCGGGTTGACAGGAGCGGCAACGATTGTTACAATTCCGTCTCGAAGAGACAGAGAGAGAGAGAGAGAGAGAGAGCGTAACGCGCCATTTTAATTAATCGGCGGTTATATTAATTCGCGAATTTACGACCGCGTTAAGAATGACCGCTTGATTACCGGCC